CGTGTTTCTCTGCAGATATGAAGTCGCACCTCGTTCAGACAGTGAGGACAGTGGATCGGAAGAAGAAGAGGAGGAAGATGAGGTACATAAGTGCTGTTTTAAAATAAAAAGATGTGGCATTTGTTCCTGGAGCTCATTTTTTGTAATTGTATCGTCAGGAGGAAGTGGATGAGCAGCCGCAGCCTGCATCGGCTCCAACTGAGGAGAAGAAGAAGATTCCAGACCCTGATAGCGAAGACGTCTCAGAAGTGGATGTCCAGCACATCATCGAGTACGCTCTCCTGCTGGTATTAAGCTCTCTCTCATCTGTGTAGACGTATCGTTTGACACCGCCGTGCTTCCTGTCTCCCAGGAATGCCAAGCAGGACGTAGATGACGAGTACGGCAATGCAAATTTCAACCGAGGCCTGCAGTCCTACTACGCCGTGGCTCACGCCGTCACCGAGAAAGTGGAGAAGCAATCCTCCCTGATGGTCAACGGGACGCTGAAACAGTACCAGGTAAGCAGCTCCTATCAGAACACGGTGGATTTGTTGTGCAGAGGAGCATTTAAAGCTTTGTGCAAACTGATTTGTGCCTGTGATCAGATTAAAGGTCTGGAGTGGCTGGTGTCGCTCTACAACAACAACTTGAACGGCATCCTTGCCGATGAAATGGGTCTGGGGAAAACTATCCAGACCATCGCACTTATTACATACCTCATGGAGTTAAAGCGCATCAACGGGCCCTTCCTCATCATCGTACCTCTTTCGTAAGTCCAAAACGTGGCATCAGCTGGTTAATTATGTGAACAGTTCAATGACAATAATTCTTAAGAAGATGATAGGAGCCATTTCAGAGAATAAAAGAACCATTTCTTCTGTTATAGGACTTTATCGAACTGGGTTTACGAGTTTGATAAATGGGCTCCATCTGTGGTGAAGGTCTCCTACAAGGTAAGTGCTGTGATAGAGAGTGGCATTACTCCTAATATTCACTCTGTAATTATTTAGTTCCATTCTTGAATGTAATGTGTCGCTTTCAGGGCTCTCCAGCCGCTCGCCGCTCGTTTGTTCCGATCTTGCGAAGCGGAAAGTTCAACGTGCTGCTCACCACGTACGAGTACATCATCAAAGACAAGCAGGTCTTGGCTAAGGTAACAAGAGACGCTCCAGACCCTCTACCAGACACCTATTGTCCTTATGCTCTGCATTGTAAACAGATTCAAACACATTTTGAGCTTTTTCACATTTCATAAAATCACAACCACAAACCTCAGTGTATTTTTAAAATAGGATAACACAGTGATGCATCACGGTGAAAGGAAACGTATGGTTTCCATAATTGTAGGACTTAAACAATTAATCGGATTAATGATGGTTTATCGATTATTGAAATAATCTATAACTAATTTAGAAATCGATAAATCATTACATGGAGTATAGAGAGTATAAAACATGCCTTTAGCTAACAGAGCAACCCCCTTTTATAGTCTTCCAATCAAATGTGAATTCGGGGGGGGGAAAAAAAGAGAAAGTAAAATGTTTGTTACTTATTTATATTTATATCTTTCCTCGATAGATCCGCTGGAAGTACATGATTGTGGATGAGGGTCACCGCATGAAGAACCACCACTGCAAGCTGACTCAGGTCCTGAATACGCACTACCTGGCCCCGCGGCGTCTGCTGCTGACCGGAACCCCACTGCAGAACAAGCTGCCAGAACTCTGGGCTCTGCTCAACTTCCTGCTGCCCACCATCTTCAAAAGCTGCAGCACCTTCGAGCAGTGGTTCAACGCTCCCTTCGCCATGACTGGAGAAAAGGTCGGTTAGAGAAAGACTAACATATTGAAATGTTTCTAAATGCCGGCAGGAAAGCAGATCATAATAAATGTCGTTTCGCCTGAAGGTGGACCTGAATGAAGAAGAGACCATCCTGATCATTCGACGTTTACACAAGGTACTCCGACCGTTCTTGTTGCGTAGACTCAAGAAAGAAGTGGAGGCCCAGCTGCCAGAAAAGGTAAACCTGTCCTTCAAAGCCTTTAACTAAAATTTTAATTCTTTTAAAGACGCATAATGAACTAACTTTAGGATTCTAAATATTATATACATGTTTCCTCGTTTGCTGCAGGTGGAGTACGTGATCAAGTGCGACATGTCGGCCCTGCAGAGGGTTCTGTACCGACACATGCAGGCTAAAGGAGTTCTACTAACAGATGGGTCAGAAAAAGACAAGAAGGTAATACAACCACGATGTTTGTAGATTAAATATAAAGAATAAAATTAAAAGGAGACATTTGAAACATGGAAGGTTTCATTTTGGTGGATTTGTTTTCTGTGTTTTTAGGGTAAAGGTGGAACGAAGACCCTGATGAACACTATCATGCAGCTGAGGAAGATCTGCAACCACCCCTACATGTTCCAGCACATTGAGGCATGAAACTCTATTCCTACCTAGAGAAGCGAGTTATCCATTAATGAATCAATCTAAACTTGATAGCAGATAATGATAATTGACAAGTTCTCATTCTGTTAAGAACCCGAGTTATTTTTCTTTGTTTTTGAGGATCTTTTCATAATACGAGGGGCTAAATATTATTTAACAATACACATAAAAAAAAAATAAAGTAGTGCATCGTCATGTATTTAAATGTTTTTTG